GCCGACCGTGGTTTGAGGCCCGCACCCGGCTTGAAACCTGGTGTGCCCAAAATCCTGAGAGGAGAAGGGATTGTGGCCTGACCATCCCCCCTGGGGAGTGATTTCCCACTTCTGTGTCTCTGACGAGTGCACTTGCCCTGTAGCAAAAATCTCTCCAAACAATGAAATAAATGTTCACTTCCCGTCTGCAGGTACCCTGAACACTCAGATAGGCCCGGGGTCACTGAGAAAAGACTGTGGGGGCCAGTGGGGGAGGTGCCCGGGGATGGGGGAGCAGGCAGCCTGGCCTGTAAGGTTCTTGGAGGGTTGCTCTTGTAAGCGGCCCTAGGTGATCTTGGAAAATGGTTCGCTATTCAGTTGACCCAGAGGACCCCACAAGGTCATGCAAATCACGAGGTTCAAATCTTTGTGCTCACTTTAAGAACACTTGTGAAACTGTCCAGGCCATCTAAGGTATGCATATGTGAAAAGTATCTGAAGGCTGTCACCTTACAGAAGCCGTGTGCCATTCTGTCGTTAAAAGGGTGGAGTTGGTAGATGTGCCCAGGCCAAACGGTGGGGCTGGACACAAGGTCAACGGCCCAAAAAAGAGTGCTGAATTTTTGCCATACGTGCTTACCAACGCAGAGAGTAAAGCTGAACTGAAGGGGTTAGATGCAGACTTTCTGGTCACCGAGCACATTCAGGTGAACGAGGCACCCAAGAAGCACCGTTGCACCTACAGAGCTCATGGGCAGAGTGACCCCTCCACGAGCTCCCCTCCACCCTCCCCACATCGAGATGGTCTCACTGAAAAGGAGCAAATTGTTCCCAAGCCGGAAGAGGAAGTCGCACAGAAGAAAAGGATATCCCAGAAGAAACTTAAGAAACAAAATCTAATGGCACGGGAATAAATTAGCATAAAATAAATGTAGATAAAAGCAAAAAAAAAAAAAAAAAAAAAATTGGTTGAGGGGAAATTAGCATAAAAAAAATGGAGAAAAAAGCAAAAAAAAAAAAAAAAAAAGAGTTCGTTGGAGGGACCATCCCTAGGGAACTGGCACAGGATTGCTTCCCAAACTCCAGAGCGAGCCTTGCCAGTGCTGGGCCCAGACCCTGAAGAGCAGTCAGGCTGAGAAGGCCCTCAGGACACCTGGGCCTGTGAGCCAGGCTGGGCCGAGCGCGGGCCTGCTTTTTCTTGCTGTAGGGTGCCTGCACTTGCCAGAGAGGGGCAGAAAGGGGAAGTGAGAAATCAGCCCAGGAGGGCCACACTGCAGCCCCTTCGCCTCCATTCTCGGGATCTTAGGCATGCATGCACACGCCCGGCATGATTTGGTCCGAGTGCTCTCTGTGAACCGACTGCGCTGACCCTCAGAACACAGCAGCAGGTGGGTCACACCCTCCCTGCTTCCTGCTGTCCTGAGGATGAGCCCAGACTCCGTGAATGATGCGGCCCGTGCTCTGGCCCGTGTCCCGGCCGCTTCTCTTCCTGGAGCACGGCCTGTCCTTGCCTTGGGCCTCTGCACTTGCCCTTCCCTGAGCTGCCTCCTCAGGTCAGCCCAGCTGCCTCGAGAGAGGCCTGCCCAGAGGACCCTTCATCAAGTGACTGTCACCCTCGAGACACAGTGCAGAGTGGCGTGTGCCCCGCCTGTCTCCCATGAGTCTAGCAGCGTGTTGAGATTCTCCGTTTCCTTGGAACTGCAGGCCAGACTCAGTGCTGGGGACAGAAGACAGTGTCCTCACATGCCAGGTTCAGAGAGCTGCAGGGCTGGGGGCTGCTGGGGGCTGGGAGAACCAGCCGCCAGGGAAGCACAGCGCTCCTGAGAGGGGGCAAGGGAAGTGGCCTCCCGCGAGAACTGCAGGACATCTGCAGGGCCTGCTGGCTGTGTGTGGCTAGCAGGGGGGCCAGCCGCCCGCAGCTACCAGGAATGTCACCTGCAACCCAGGCAGTGGCCCAGGAGGCGGTGGGTCTTGCCCATCCGTGTGGTGGTAGGCATCAGCAGTCTTTGGGGGTCCACAACGAGAAGGCCGCCCGCTTCTGCAGGGACGGCACCTTGGTCTGGGCAGGGGACCGTGGAAACAAGTGAAACCCTGTGCTTTGAGGGGCAGGTGCGGCTCCAACAGCAGCCAGCCCTGGGTGGCTGACAGGAAGGCATCCCTTCACCTGCAAAAACACTTCCTAAGAGCCGCGTGCAGGCCGGGAGTAGTGTAGGGTTGTGACCAGCCTCCCGCCTTTCTCTACTTCTCAGTAACCAGTTTTTAAAACATCTAATTCATGAGACCAGCAGATGGCGTAATGGCAGTGTCACTGGACTCCCACGTAGTCGATCCTAGTTTGGGTCCTGGACCCGGTGGGTTAAACTCACCCCGGGCGCGTGTGCGTGCGTGGCCAAGATCCCAAGAGGAGAATG